AGAGAGAGAGAGAGAGAGAGAGAGAGAGAGAGAGAGAGAGGGAGACCTAAACCCTAGATCCGATCTAGGGTTTCGACAAGAGAGGAGATGGGGAGAGAGAAGAGATACCTGCGTTAAGAGAGATATTCGGGATCGGGGCTGAGAAATGAGAGAGGGGAGGAGTCAGGATCGGGGCTGAGAAATGAAAGAGAGGAGTTGGGCCGGGATTTGGTAAATTCCAAGGGGTATGGTGGAATTTCAAATATTTGTATTTAGGCTTTCAAATTCTCCTCTCTAAAATAACCTGATTTGAAATTTTAGTCAAATTTAGAGTCCAAACTAGAGATTTGGATTTGAAATATCATGGATTTTAAATCCAGGGCCCAAATCCAAGTTTCCAAACGCAGCCTACAAGTATTCCGCCCAACCTTAAGATTGTTTTAGCACTTTCAAAACCCTCATAAGGAAAGTCATAATTCTCTGAGCCCAAAAATATAAAACACAAGAGTTTAAAATATGTGAAGACCATAATATATTCTCTCTCTCTCTCTCTCTCTCTCTCTCTCTCTCTCTCTCTCTCTCTCTCTCTCTCTCTCTCTTCATGATGTCACTATGATGATTTAAAATGAGTTTTTTTGGGGGAAAATTCTAGTTCCCACCAAAATTTTTCAATGACATCGACATTGGCGATGAAACTTTTCCGGTGTTCGTTCATGAGGCGAAGAAAACTACGATCTTGAAGACGGTGATGACAAGTTGCGTTGGATTCAGCATCACCATTCCAAAGTAAAAAACGGGAACTCCGACGACTCCTGGTGTAATTTTTTCCCTTTTTTAACTTGTACTTCAATCTGAGTGCTATATTTTTTATTATTTTACATAGTTTTGTAATTTGTTTTAAAATCGATGACTTTAGATTAAAGTAGAATCTGTAAAATTATATATTATTGTTATTTCACTATAATGAGTTTGTTGTTATGGTTATGAGTTAGTTGTGAAGGAATGTTACGTGTTGGTTTTGAAGGTTACGAGTTGGTTGTAAAGTTTACGAGTTAGTTGTGAAAGTTATGAGTTGATTGTGAAGGTTACGTGTCGGTTGTGAAGGTTATGAGTTTGTTGTGAAGCTTACGGGTTGTTTGTGAAGGTTACGAGTTAGTTGTGAAGGTTACGCATTGGCTGTGAACCTCGGTAAGGAGTTTGTTGTGAAAGTTATGAGTTGGTTGTCAAGGTTAGGAGTTGGTTGTGAAGATTACGAGTTAGTTGTCAAGGCTAC